CATCAAAAATCCCCCAACAAAGAAAAGGCCAGGACCAGATGGCTTCCCTGGTGAATCCTATCAAATATTTAAAAAAGAATCAATAACTATTCTTCTAACTTTTCTAAAAAACTAAGGATGAGGGAATATTTCCAAATCTTACTTTGATACCAAAGCCAGACAAGGACACTACAGGAAACTATAATAAATTACAGGTCAATACCCTGATGAATATATATGCAAATATTCTCAACAAAATACTAGCAAACTCAACTTAGCAGCACATGAAAAGATCATACACCATGATCAAGTGGGATTTATGCCGGGGATACTTCAGCACATGGAATCCGTGATACACTTCAATGACAGGTGAAGGATAAAAATCATAACATCATCTCAATAGATTCAGAAAAAGCATTCCACTAAATTCAATACCTTCTCATGATAAAAACTCTTAACAAACTGGGTGGAGAAGGACCGTACTGTACCTCAGTGTAATAAAGGTTATATGTGATAAATTCACAGCTAACATCATATTCAACGATGGAAAACTCAAAGCTCTTCTGAGGTTAGGAACGAGACCAGGGTGTCCACTCTCACCACTTCTCTCCAACATGGGAGTGCAAGTGCTAGTCAGAGCAATTAAAGCAGAAGAGAAATAAAAGACATTCAATCAGAAAGGAAAAAGTAAAACTGTTTCCAGATGACCCGATTTTATAAAGAAAAAAAACTCTAAAATTTCCAACAATACTTTAGAATAAATTTAGTATAAAGTTACAGAATACAAAAATCAACATTAAAAAATCAGTTACATTTCTATATGCTACCAAATTACCTGAAGAAGAAATCGAGGAAATGATACCATTTACAATACCAACAAAGAGAATAAAATCTTTATGTATAACTTTAACCGAGGAGGTGATTAAAACTATAAGACTGAAACTATAAAACTCAGAAAAGAAATGAAAATATGCACAAATAAATAAAAAGATATTTTGTGCTCACGCATTAGAAGAATCAGTACTGTTAAAATGTCCAAACAGGTCAGCCAATGGCATGGTGGTTAAGGCGGCTGGATCCCACATAGTCGACTGCGTAGTCTGAGTCTAGGACACACCATGAGGGCGAAAAATTTGTCCCAGGGGACTTTGATGAGCCTTAGCAGGCAGAGTGAACTGGGGATTCACTTTAACTTTTGCAAAATGTTCTACCTAAAGGTAGGAACAACTGATAACTCTCAATCCTCCTGCCAGTGAACTTTGATTTAGCTACAAAGATGTAAAATTCAGGCTCATTTCTACAGCTGGACAGTGGGAAGTTTTCCAGAACTTTCCCTCCAAACACTAGGCCATTTGACCTTTCGTCAGAGACTTTCAGCATCTTTTGAGTTGGTGCTGAATGCTATCTCTGATAACAGAAGTGTCCTGCTAACAATATAAGTCAGAGGTGGACGGACTTGCCAGCAGGTGGCAGGGTGGCTAAGGCACTGGATCCCACATGGCCGACTGTGCCGTCCAATTTCTGAGCCTGGCAGCTTGAAGAACATGCCAGGTACATATGCATGCATGCTTAAAATCCCAAGGAGAGAATGGAGAAGGGGTTGTGGTACAGCCATGCCCTCTGAAGGGTGATTTCTCATTTTCCTCTCTCTCTCCAACAGGTATACCATGCACTCTGTGGCAAAAATCTAAAGAATGAAAAAGTCTGTAAGGCTAAACATTCAGCCACCTCCTCTGAGGCTGGACTTGATTTTTACAAACATCTAAAGGACAATCCTAGCCCAGAATGGTGATCAGGTAGGGCTGACTTTCACTTAAGCCAAGTGTTGGATTTGATTCCTATCTCCTACTGCTTCATCCTTACAACCCATCAAAAAAAAACCAGGCCCATCTCAGTTCTACCATACTGCCTGGAGAGGCACACCTATCATCATTTTCTTGCATCTGTCCCCTTCTTAGAGTCCAGGCTGCAAAGGGCAGTTGTTTGAAAGATACTGCTCATCCCACTGTTAAATAAATCTATCTTCTCTTTAAAGCAATTAATATCAATATATGAAAGCACTAACAATGCCAGGCCTGTGTATAAGTCTCTATTAGTTCCTGCTATTATCATCTTACTAATATTATCCACTAGGACTGAAATGATCTGCAGTTCGAGAGCTTATCTTAATAAAGATAATATTTTTTTTTTAATTTCAATCACAGAAGTATCAGATACACGGCAGGCATCCAATAAGTATTTCTTTAAAAAAGTCACTGAAATGTATTTTTAAATGGTTCAATGCCTCAACTAAACTGGTGACCAAATAATAGACTCAAAGGGACCCAAAATTATGGCTGAGCACTCAGGTAGGTGCTCAGCCATAATCAACAAGAGACATGGAGTTGAACCAGTTCGTCCAAGAGACATGGAGTTGAACCAGTTCGTCCACGTACTAGCATGGAACCTCTATGGGTCTCAGAGTTCTCATCGGCCAAGTGGGAAAATGATGGTGCCTAAGTCACAGGTGACTTCGAGGATGAATGAAACAATGTGTGTCAAATACTAGGGACCACGTGGCACACTCTAAATACTCCCTATCATCACCGCCACCCGTAAGACTAAGAAAACACTCAAATGTCAGTATTCACCATTTTTTTTTTGAGAGTTTTTGCTATAGGGTGCGTGCGCTCGCCAGAAAGACAGAGACAGAGAAACAGAAAGCGAGAAATCACACCGCCCCCAGGGGGGATGGCCATGCAGCAATCCCTTCTCTTCCGTTCTTCTCTTGGGATCTTGGTCACGCAAACACACGCACCCGGTGTGAGTTTAAGCCACCGGGTCTGGGACTCGAACTGTAGTTGACTATATGGGAGTCCAGCAACATAGCCATTATACCAACTGGTGGCCCCTCACCAAAATTTTAAAACCACAACCATCTTTAAACAGTTTTTATAGAGGCTAGGAAAAATCCCCACAGTGATTATTTCTAAACATGTTTAATAGCTGGGCAGCAAATCACTTTCTAGCTATTGTCTGGATTTTTTTTTCATGAAGGGAGAAATGGACTAATTGCAGCTGCTTCCTTTGATAAGAGACATCATACAATTTGTGTTTCTAGCATAAGCGGCTGGGGGCACTCTGCTGAGTACCAAAGTGCTCTATGACACACTGAAGGCTCAGGGCAATTCGAGAAGAGGGAAGCCTTTACCCCTGTCCTGCAGAAGAAACTCCTGTTTCTTCAGAGAGGTTAAGTAACCTGCCCAAAGCCACAGAGTTTACACGTGGCAGAAGGTGGATTGTGAACCCAGGCCATCAAGGAGGATAGACTGGCTGGCGCCTCCCAAGGAGGAAATAGTCTGCAAGTGAGCGAGGGTCAGCACCAGTCAATCAGCCCAGGGGTTCAAAGGAAAAGGCCTGGGAATGGCTCACCCAGAACCCCCAGCAAGTAATTTTATTGCCTCCATTAAAAATCAAGTACAATGGTGAAAAGTTGAAAGGTCACCTGGAGCCTGTGTATCCAACTAACGTCGCTGCTTCCCCCCTCCCCCCACTTCCTCAAGGTATCCCAATATCCCTTCAGCAAGGCTGTCCCAACAAAGACGGTAGTAGCCAAAGGTACTCGGCCTTGGCAGGGGCTCCTTCCGTCCTCAGCCTGGAATCGCCATGATCTCCATATTTTTTTTGGAGAGATTTTCACTGTAGGGCGTGCGCTCGCCAGACAGACAGAGACATAGAGACAGAAAGCGAGAAATCACCCCCCAGGGGGGATGGTCACGCCGCAATCCCTTCTCCTCCGTTCTCCTCTCGGGATCTTGGGCACGGATGCACACGCGCCCGGCGTGAGTTTTAAGCCACCGGGTCCGGGACACGAACCGCGGTCGACTACGTGGGAGTCCAGCGACATAGCCATTACGCTAACTGCTGGTTCCCGCCATGATCTCCATTTAACACAAGAAACTTAGGGAAGGGCCCCTGTCAGGCAAGTAGGGACACGTGGACCGGAACCCAAACCTGCCTGACGAGGGAACTGTAGCTACTACCCCCTGTGCAGATAAGGGACCCTCCTCCCTTCTAAATCCAGTACTCCTTATCTTCCGAATCCCGGATAATACAGGGTATCCTCAGTCCTCTGGCTAGGAGCGCAGGGGGGACTAGCCGCGCGAAGGGAACGATGGTGACAGAAAGAACTTTTCCCCAGAGTTTTGGCGCAAGCCATCGAGGCCCCTCCGTGCAGCTCCAGCAGACAGCGCCAGGCAGGAGGGGAGCAGGACCCAGAGGCGGGCTAGGAGAGGGGGGGAGCAAGCGCGCGGCGACCGGGCACCAGAAGCGCAAGGGAGGTGAGGGCCGAGGTTACCTTCCCACGGCGGCCGGACGGCAGGAAGGCGGAAGGCGGGTCCACTCTGTCCCTCCGCAGCGAGGGTCTGTGCCGCCTCAGCGAAACGAAAGTAAAAGCCCCAGCGTGGTAGGGGGAGGAGCCGCTCAGGGGAGGGCTGGAGCCGGGCGGGAGAGTGTCCGCCCCACTTGGCTCCGGACTTCGGGATCTCCAAGTCCGCTGCCTGCAAAGCGGCCCACTCCTCCAAGCGCACAGCCCCAGGCGAGCGCGCCCTGCAAAGTTGGTCGCGCGCGAAGCGGTTCCGTTACTGGGAGGGAACTTCTGCAAAGCTGCAGGTTCTGCAAAAACGGCCGCACACCCAGTGGCCTGGCCTGCCACACGTATCGTCTCCGGGGGGCGCCCTCTGCAAAGTTGGCCGCGCGCTGCAGAGTGTGCCCAGTAAAGTTTGCAGAGATTAAAGGATCCTACCGCCACGCGCACAATCCTCGGGAACACACTGTGCAAAACCGGCCGGCACGGTGACTCAAACACTGCATGCAATCTGCAGATTTCCTGGCGGCGCGCGGTGAGGGGTGTGTGTTCTGTTACACACCACCACTCGCCACTGCCCCCTGCCTAGACCTCGACCTGGGCTTTCGCGCCAAGTCGGGGGCCCAGTTCCGTGGCGGAGCCTCTTCCCCAGCCAGACCCTGACCACAGTTGGTACCATTCGCATCCCCTAGGGAGCTCGGCGCTGGCATCTGCGCGCGTTGCTTCCTGAGACCAAGTCCCTGGGGCCAGCTCTGGGATCATGCGCCGTATTCCAGCCTTCCAGTCATTGCTTCCTCTCGCGGCAGCGCCCTCCTTCGCGAGTGGGCGTTGGACGCTAACTCGGCTTTTCCTTAAGCAAGTTCCTACCTCTCTACCCAGCCATGTTGTCGCGATGTTGCACCAGAATCATCCAAGAACTATTTATTGAGCGCCCCCATGTGTCAGGCACTAGGTATGTGGCCATGAGTTAGCTTAATATCGGGACGCTGCACTTTTCTATCCATTCCAGTTTCCTCGGACCCGGCAATCCTCTGTCTCTCTCTCTCTCTCTCTCTCTCTAGCGCACACACACATTCTCTCTCTGTCTTGTTTTTCTTCAGCGCTGGGCTTCCAACAGAAACCTCCACTGTTTTTCTTCCCAAAAATGTGCTGTGTGGCGAGGTGGGGGGAGGGGGGGGGGGCAACCAATTCAGTCACATCGAGGGGTAAATATTTAAGAAGAAATTGTTGTTTTATTCATGCCAAAGATATTTGCCTTTAAGAATGACCAAATCGTCGAGTGAAAGGGGTACGAGCTTCATGGTGTGGCATCAGGCAAGAACCACATAATTGTTTTTGTTTGCTTGCCTACCCCTGGGCCTAAGAGGAAAGTATTATCTCTGAAATCTCAGCAGATAAGGAGACTCTCTTGGTTTGACTAAGGGGATAATTATAATACAATTGATAAACTTTTGTGAAAATCTGCAATTCCTGAATACTTGTATTAGGCAGTTGCTTAATTTTGAATATGGCTACTCTATATTTAATGCCCTGTTCCATAAATGTTGGTGGTAAACTAAGCCATTTTAGACATTTTTTTCTTTAATTGCCAGAGGGCAATTTTCCTGCAGGGGAGCCACAGAGAAAGAGAATGGAGTGAGGTCATACTACAATACATTTTCCTCCATTTCTGCTGGATCTTGGGTATGCACATAGTTTTCAAGCAGTTAGGGAGATCCCGTCCCTGGTCGGCCATGTGAAATCTGGCTCCCAATGCACACACTGAACCCCTACACTATGGGGCTGGCCCAAGATGAGACAGGAGAAAGCTACCACATGGAAGCAGGTAAGGGGGCTGGAGTGTTCCCATGTGGCTAGATAGAAAAAACAATCAGGGCAGAAAATTCCTTGCCCAAAGTAATATAAGCAGATTATTGGAGGATGTCTAGTCCATTAAGCCACATTTGCTATAGCCAATGAAATGGGCTAAGCCATATTTGAAATAGCTAATGAGAAATCAGTGGGCCCAGCCATACATATTTAATAGAACCAATGAGATGAGAACAATCATTTGGCTCAGCCAATGATCAACTCACAGGACCTAGATTAAAACATTATGGGACCAGCAGTTGGCGTAATGGCTATGTTGCTGGACTCCCATGTAGTCGACCACGGTTTGAGTCCTGGACCTGGTAGCTTAAACTCACGCCAGGCGCGTGTGTGTGTGCCCAGGATCCCAAGAGGAGAATGGATGAGAAGGGATTGCGGCATGGCCATCCTCCCTGGGGGGCAATTTCTTGCTTTTTTTCTCTCTGTCTTTCTGGCAGTTGCACATGCCCTATAGCGAAAACCTCTAAAAAAAATTACAAACCTGGACCAGTAGATGGTGTAATGGTTACATGGCTGGACTCCCATGTAATTGACCTTAGTTTGAGTCCTGATCTTGGCAGCTTAAAACGCATGCAGGGAGACCAGCAGATGGCAGAATGGTTACATGGTGGACTACCACGTAGTCTACTGTGGTTTGAGTCCTGGATCAGGTGGCTTAAATTTATGCCAGGCACATGTGCATGTATACCCAAGATCCAGAGAGGAGAATGGAAGGGAAGGGATTATGGCATAGTCATCTCCTATGATGATGGGGGGGGAATGCTTGCTATCTTGCTTTCTGTATCTCTGTCTCTGTCTCTCTCTGTCTTTCCACGTGAGTGTGCATGCGCTATAGCAAAATTCTCTTTATAAAAAAAAAGGAAAAACGCACACCAGGCATGTGTGTGTATGTACCCAAAATCCCGAGAGGAGAATGGAGAAGAAGGACTTGCGGTGTGGCCATCCCTGTCAGGAAGTGGGGGTGATTTCTCACTTTCTGTCTCTCTAGCAAGTGCAAGTGCCCTATAGCAAAAATCTCTCTAGAAAAAAAAATATAAACCTCGCAAAATGCAACTATAGCATTTTGAGCCACTCTCTCTGTCTGCTCAGGCCCGCTCCTGGCTCTCAGGACTGTACTTTTACTTAATAACTACCTTTTCCTTCACGATTGGTATGATTCATTCAGTTCTTTGTTCAAAACATCAAGAATTTGGATATCTTCACAGAATCCATCCTGCAACAGACTTAATCTTTTTAAAGGAATTAGATTCTGAACCATTTGAAAAATGAAGAATTCTGGTAGTAAAGCAAATACAATACTCTCTGATTTATCTAATTTGTAAATCTAGGATATTGCAGATTATTCCTGAAATACAGTGAAACACTATAGCACAGAGAGGTAACTTGACTAAAATTGGCTCATTTTATAAATCTGAGGCTGGGGTCAGCCCAGTGACAGGGTGATTAAGGTAACTGAATCCCATGTAGCCTATTGTCTGGTTCGTGCCCCAGACTCAGTGGCTTGAAAAACACTCCAGGCACGTGGGCATGCATGCCCAAAATCCTGAGAGGAAGATAGAGGGGGAGAAGGAATTGCTGTATGACCTTGCAGGTTCTCTTTCTCTCTCTCTTTCTCTTCCTCTCTCACCAGCAAGTGCACATGCCCAATAGCAAATTTAAAAAAGAAGAACCAGAGGCTCAGCAAAGTTGACCACATTGTAAGCTTGTCAATGGCAGAACTAGGATCAAGCTACCTCGAAAAATAATGACTTTTCCGCTCACAAGAAGGCTCCCTCATAAATTATATCATGCAAATGTTATGATGTGTTGGCATACAGGAATTCACAACTGGCTGAAATGGAGAGGTGATTTGAAGGGAAATTTTTTTTTTTTCCAGCTCATTATGGTGGGCTGGTGTGAGAAACTCCAAAGGTATGACACCAATGCTGGGATTGTTATTATAATCAAAAGTAAAGCGATGAGAATCTGGAAGGAAAGAAACCATTCTGAACTTATTTCTTTGTAATTATTTTACTGACTCTTTGGAATCAAAAGATACTCTCTTTTCAATGTAAGTAGGGGCTTCAAAATGTTTGTGGAGGGCTATTCCCGTGGCCTGGTGGTTAAGGTGGCTGGATACGACATGGTCAACAGTGCAGTTCAAGTCCTGGGCCTGGTGGCTTGGGAAACAGTCTGGGTGCATGTGTGTGCATGCCCAAAATCCCAAAAGGAGGGAGAAATGGAAGAGAGGGATTGTGGCATGAACATGCTCTGTGGTGGTGGTAGTGTGTGTGGGGGGAGGATGCTTGCGCTCTCTCTTTTTATCTCTTTCCACTGAGCGCATGCTCCCTCTAGCAACTTTTAAAAAATGTGATTAAAGTATGAATTAGTTTGGTGCAAAAGATTGAAATCTATAAATAATTTTTATAATACACATTTTCATGAAATTTTTGAAGACCCCTGGTATCCTCTGTTTTTCTCCAACAAATTGGTTTATTCTCCCTTTCTATACTCACATGATTATAGCCTGAGCATTCCCCCTCATTTCAGAAAAATCCTCCAGCTCCTCCATTCAGATGATTTTCAAAGGGCTGGCCTCATGGATGCCCCTCAGCCAGTCCCCTGGACCTTCCCTCCAGAGCCCTCTCCTCTGGTCACTAGGTTACTGGTGAGCTCCCCACGCCCACCCCGCTGGGCATAGCATTCCCCAGTGGGGGTCACTAATGATTGCTTCTCCAGTTCTCCACAGGACAACTCAGGTCAGGCTGTGACTTTGTACAGAATATCACCACACACCACCAAGATGAACAGGAATGC